ACACCAGCCACTCCAAGGGAGAAAGATGGAAAGATGTGGCAGGCTCTTTCCATAAAGATGGCGGTTCAACTCTGTCCAAAGGCTTTGGAAATTATTTATTCATTTTGCAAATCATTACACACACACACACACATACACACACACACACACACACACACGTTTGTTATGTACTGTTGAGGCAGAGCTGACTCACAGTTGACCCCTGGCAGTAAGTAAATCTATAGTGATTGGGGGGTTTTTTGGACTTGGATCTTCAGGTTTTTCTTCCAAGGTGCTGACGGGTGGACTCAACCTCCTCTTGGAGGAGATTGTCCATCTTGTCCAAATCTACCAGCTGCTCTGGGAGAGAAAGATGGGCAATTTCTTCCCATGCGATTACCTGCCTGTAAAGACCCACTGAAGGGTCAGCTATGGGTCAGTTCTAACACAATGGTACACAACAACAACAACAACATAAATGTATTGGCCACTTGAAGGTATAATCCTCAACTCTTTTTTTAAAAAAAATCTTCAATTCTTTAAAGTGGTAGGCTTGTCATTCAAACATCTCTCTTTTCTTGGTTCATTTTGTGGAACTGTTTCTCCCAAGGTAATTTCTCTCCCTGAGATTTCTAATATTGCCATGTAAAAAAAAACCCCACAAAAAACCACAAAACACATAAGGTTTAGAAACGGTTCCCTTTGCAGTCATAATGCTCATTGCTACAGAGATTTTATGCACTTAGCATAACAGAGAAGAAGTGAGGCTTCAGAGGCATCGCCAGAAGCCATCGTGGTGAAAATGACTTGCTGAATAACCATGAGGCACCTCACGGTGCTGCTGAGAAAGCCGCACCATTCCCCAGCACAAATCATCAGAAATCATGGCGAAGGCGGGCAGTTGCTCTGAATTTTGCATTCTGACCCCATCTTCTCTGCACCAAGATGGATACATACATCACACTTGAAGTATCAGTTTCCTAACATAAGGACACCTGGTTGTGGAATGTGTAAAGGACTGGCTTGATAACCTGAAGGTTGGCAGTTCAAATCTAGCATCTGCTCTGGGGGAGAAATACGAGCAATGTCCTCCAGAAAAGATTTCTTAACAGTCTGAGGAACCCCACGGAAGGTCCCCATGGCATAGAACCAACTCATGGCACGGCATTTTTTTCAACCTGGGCGTCCCTGGGTACAGCAATCAGCTAGCCTGTCCAGCTGCTAAGGCTGGAAGCTGAGTCTGCACATGCGCACCTTGGGAGAAAAGCCTGAAAACCTACTTCCAAAATCCAAAACCCAACCCAAGCATTACGGAAAGCCCTGGGGAATGGAGCTGTAGTCTGACCCATGTGAGGTGGCCATGTTGTTATCTGTTGTTAGACGTCAAGGTGACTGTGACTTGATGACTCTGTGCATTCATAACAGATAACCTTGCCCTCTCACGTACCATCTTCACCACCTCTGCTCCACTTGAGCCCAGTGTTACAATCACTGTGACAGCCTACCTCACGGAGGGTCTTCCTCTCTTACAGCTGACCCCTCTGCTTTGCCCAGCATGTTGTCTTTTTCCAAGGCCTGGCCTAATTGCAAGTTAGAGTCAATTTGAGTACAATTTGTTGTTGGTTTTTTTTAAAAAAATAAAAATGTTTCATTTTAATTGTCATTTTAACAAAAGTTTACAGAAAAGTTAGATTTTCATTCATTCATTGTTGCACATTTTACCCCCTCTCCCTCCCTTTCCCCACCTCAAGTTGACCCTTTTTATTAGTTTATTTACAAAATTCTAAATACAACCCAATGATTAATCCCCCCTTCCCCCTGCACATCCACATCCCTCTGCTTCCAGCCTCTCTCACCCCTCCGGGATCCTTATACTCATTCTACAGTAACAGCCTTATACAATATTTATCCTTGTGGGACTGAGTTAGTTCACAGCTTGAGTACAACTTGTTTTTATTTTTCATATTTTTTGGGTTTGGGGTTTTTTTTAACATGAGTTTAACTGTAAAACATTTTAATTTGTTAACTTCTCTTCCTTCCCACGTTTTGTATCTTGAAAACTTTCAGGATGACAGAAAAATTAACCCGATGACTATCTCTTTGCCCACCACCTCAATTGTTAGCGTTTGGTCCATTTGCTTTTCTAGATACTGCATGTTTATATGTAGATGTTGTTGTTGTTATGTACCAAGGAGCTGAAAACGACTTATAATTGACCCTCCAGCAGGTTTGAGAGGCAGTAAATCATGTGGGAGGAGACTGCCCATCTTTCTCCCATAGAGCAGCTGGTGGATTCAAACTGAGCGCCTTTGGGTTGGCAGCACAACTCATTACCACAAAGCTACCAGGGCTCCATAAATCAATCAATCAATCTATCTATCTATCTGCTATCTATCTTTCATCTAAGTAGATAAGTAGACATAGATAGATGCACAAATCTCTGTTGTAATAAGTACACATGCACAAAAGGATCTCATCAATGAGCATTCTCACTGAAAAAATATTTCTAAATTTCATGTTTACTTGATATTGTAGTATTAGAAAGAAAAGGAAGGAGCATGGCTTTAGGGAAAATAGTTCCTTAATAATATGAATAACATATATGGATTATGCACATGGAGCTCTGGTGGTGCAGTGCAGTGCATAACATAAAGGACTGCTAACCAAAAGGTTAGTGGTTTGAATGCACCCGTAGCTCCAAGGGAGAAAGACACAGACTACCTCTTCCCATAAAGACAGTCTCAGAACCCATAATGTGTGTGTGTGTGTGTGTGTTCATAAAAACTCATGTTGACTGCCACTGAGTTGATTCTAAATCACAGTAGCAGCCCACCAATGGGTTTCCAAGACTGTTAATCTTAACTGGAGGAGACCTTTCTTCTCCTGTGGAGCAGCTGGTGGACTTGACTCGATAAGAACTGATGGCCCAGAATTGAGGTGTTGGTGAAGAGTACCACATATACCATGAACTTCCAAAGGAGAAAAAACAAATTTGTGTTGGAGGAAGTTCAGCCAGAGTGCATAGAGGTCAGGAAAGTGAGCTTTCATCACACATACTTTGAGCAAGTTGTTAGGAGATACCGGCCCCCACAGAAGGGCATTGTGCTGGGAAAAGTCAAGTGTCAGTGCAAGAGAAGGAGTCACTCAATGAAATAGGTTGACCCAGTGAGTGGACCCATGGGCTTAGTAAGCACAGCGACCATTGTGAGGATGGCTCGGGATCTGGCAGAGTTTTGATCTGTTATATCTGGGCCACTTGGGGTTGGGTCTGACTCACAACTACAATGGTTGACTGGGATGCCAATCCAAAGCGTAATGGTAAATATATAATAAACAAACAAAACAGCCTAGTCGAATCTTACCCCACCACTGCTCATTGGGACAGGAAGAAGCCTTGGTGGTATAGTGTATTAAGTGTTTCCTTGCTATGTTCTGATGACTGTCTCCTGGTCCAAGTATAGGTTTCGCATAAGCACAATCAAATTATTTGGGGTTCCCATTCATCTCAGAGTCAGCCACCGTTTGCTGTGATCCACACAGTCTTTGCATAATAATACTTAGAAAAAATCAACTCCCGTCCTCCTATTCACCTATTCTCATTATAGCTATAATGAGAAGATGAAATATTAATTATTACATAGTTTGCACCCAGGTACGAGGGATAAAATATGGCAATCTTTATTGACATTTTGGAACTTGAATTTGAATATGAAAATATATTATCTTCTTGGAATTTAATGCAAAGTAAATCGAGAAGACACACTATTCAGATTCTACAAAGACAGGCTGGTGCTGGAATCTAATTTCTCCATTGCATCTCTCTATGAACTCCTTGTGGTCTGTTGGGAATACATTTCTTGCTCCTCGTGAAGAAAAGTTTTCTTTTTCTTCAAGCCTTTTTGGTTGGAGTAGTGAAAATAGATGTTTATGACCTTCCCCATTAATTATGCAAATAGAAATGGAAGGGAAATTTGGCATCCTGTATCCTAATTTTCAAGTCCTTGGGTGACAAAACTACTAAGCACTTCACTCCTAACCAAAAAGGTTGCCTGTTCAAACCCAACTAGAGGTGCCTCAGAAGTCCTGGTGATTCCAAAGGTTTCCCTTGACAACCCTCTAAGGGCAGTTCTATTTTAAGACGTGGAAACCTAATGGGAAGTAATAAGGTTGAAAAGAACCAGTTTGCTTAGGTTTTGGACTCCAATTTTAAGAGTGTCTTTCCACGACCCTCCCCCCCCAATTTAATGGAAATTTTTATTGAAATAATTGTAGATTCACATGAAGTTATATGAAATAATGCAGAGAGATGTCATGTCCATCTTGCTCAATTTCCTCCAGTGGCAACATTCTGCAAAACTTCAGTACAATATCCAGCCAGGAAATTGCCACTGATGAAATCCACAGATCATCCTGCCATTTCTCCAGTTCAGGTTGTACTTGCGTGTTTTTTATTTCTTATAGCACCTGTGCATGAACACTCCTTTGACTCTGCCTTTCCACCCTAAGGTGTCTATCCTCCAGCACCAAATATGGACTCCACTTCTCTATGCAGTCATAAAAGAAAGGAAACCGTCTACCTCTGTCGTTAAGGGAAGCGTAGGGAATACGGACCTGCTGTGCAGTGGTGAATAAAAGGAGTATGGCTAAACACACTGAAATCGAAAGATCACCAAGATAGAATAAGCTTGAAAAGCACAGACCAGCATGATAGTGTATCTGCACTGATGTAAAAAATGGGGAGGGGGAGAACATACATACATACATACAGGGAAATGCATTTGAAAAGACTGAGGACACCTTAACTGCTAACAGTGGTTGCCAAGAGTTCCAACTGTGGCTTCTCAGATCTTAAAAATGAAGCTACAGTGTTGATAAGAAAATAAATAAATAAATTTTAAAATGCCATCATTTCACAGCCAGACTAGCCTTGAGATGAACTGGGTGCCTCTTTCCAGCCGCTGAGAGCCTCCCCTTCTCTGCCAGAGGAATCCCCTTTTTCTGGAAGAGAGGAGCAAGAGGGGATGGCGGGTGCATCAGTGCCAACCAGCATCCGTGGAAATATGACACTGCATTATCAGAAAAGGTAGGTATGCAGAAACCCTAGATGTTCTGTAAAGGCAAACCAACAAAATCTCAACCAAAGCAAACTTTGGAAATTAACAAGGAAGGGCAAGGTAGCTGCTTTCATCCCCACCCCCAGCCCCCACCCCAGGCCTGTCAGCAACCTATTTTCTCCAAAGCAATCATTAATTATTTATTGAGAAGTTAAAATAAAACGTGGGGGTGGAGAGAGAGTGAAAGGTAACATTTAATGAAACTCCTGCAGCTGCACGGGAAGGCTAGAAAAGTTCTTTGGAAACGTGCATATTTTTAACATATAGACACATTTTCCCATCAGGAAGATCCAGCGCAATTGAAACCACATGTTCAGGGAGATGGACTGGACTGTGATGTTCCCAGTGCAAGCAGAGTATGCAGGGCTACAGCGAAGAGCTCAACCGTCTCAGCCCTTGAGCCCCAAAGAATCAACCGATGTCAGCCAGGGGGAGCAAGGCTGCAGCCAGCCAACTGTTGCCTTCACCCCCGTGCCCTGTCCTCTTCAATCTTCAAAGTTACAAACTGTGAGTTTCCTTCCTGATAAACTCCAAGGCTTCCTCACTGATTGGTCTCGGTTTGGGAAAGGACGTGACATCAGCAAAGACTTGGGGCTGTGGGCTGTTGTGAGCTTTGGCTGGCCTCCAGCCAGCTAGGTGGAGCATAAGGGTGTGCATGTGTGCATGTGTGAGTGTGTGTGTGTGAGCGTGTGCCTGACCACAGGTAGGACTCTGGTTACTGCGGGCGGACTGCTCCTGCTGCAGAAGTCTGGCCAGGACGTGTGAGCCTCAGGCAGTCGCCCAAAGCTGGAACTTCCCCGGGGGAGGGGGCGCATGGAATTTGGAGTTTTCTGAACAACTAAGTAGAACTTAGAACTTGCTGGAGAGAGCAATGGATGGTCAAGAAGGGAGCAGGAGCAACTCTCTGGAGCCAGGGCTCCCTCCAAATATCCGGATACTTTCTAATCCACTGATGAGGGGTGAGTCACCGGGCACTGGGAGGCTGGCTAATGGATTTGGGAGACGATAGGGCTGGGTGATTTCAGTGGCAGTCACTGGACAGATGTCCACAGCCAGCTGATGTGTCTTTTAACATGGTTGTTTCAGAAGTGTGGACACTTAGATCCACAGAATCCTATAGCTGATGAACATGTAATGTTCACAGATTATTCTCCAGCCCAAATTTCAGCTCCAAGGGACTGCTCTTGTGGGTCAAACGCATTACTTACTAAACTAGAGGTTTACTTCTAATCAGGGAAACGTTTTTCCTGCTAAAACAATTCTTAAAAAAGGCTGAAAGTGTTTGGTATTCAGGTAGGGCTGATGTTGAAACATTGTTCTCGAATTTATTCATTTGAAAAGGGGATTGTTTTTGTTTTTAAACTCTGTAGAACTGATTTAGAGCTGTGATTCCCCCTCGTGGGGCTGCGTCGCGGCGTTGGCTAACGCGTGGGGCTGCGTGCAGTGGGGTTGCGCCATGGCTAATGCGTAGTCTCTCACCTCTGGGACTATCACGCCTGCCAACAGGTGTCTGCTGGCTAAAAGGCTTCTGAAAACTGGGTCTAGGCAAGTAGAATGAAGAAAAGAAAAAGGGGGAAACCCAATTGTCAGTGACGTCTCAGACCTCATAATCACTCCACCTGTGAGAGTTGAACCGCTCTGTAAGGGTTTCTAGGCTGTAATCTCCACAGGAGCAGGCCGCCAGATCTTTCTCGCAGAGCCACTGGATGAATTTGAACCAGCAACCTTTCAGCTAGTGACCAAGCATTTAGCTCTTTCTCCCTGTATGTTGCTATGTGCCACTAGGTTTATTCAGACTCAGAGTGACACAGTGTGTCAGACTAGAACTACCTCAGGCGGTGAGAGGTGGAGGGGTTGTACCTGGCTGTTAATTTTTATGCAAGTACATCTACTTGACTTTCTTCTGTGGCATGGGCTAGGGAGACTTGAATGGCCAATCTTCTGTTGACTCCAAACCATTTTAATCATCCAGGGACTTCTAGGCAGTAGAGAACGGATTCATATCTCAAACATCCTGGTAGACTGATAGACTGTCAAACCCCAGGAATCCTGCAATCAGCTAGGGTGTATTCATCTCCTATCCTACAGATACTCAAGTGGCACAGCGGGCAAATAATTTAGCTGCTTGTCAAAAGATTGGCAGTTCAAATTCACCATCTGCTTGGGGGGAGAAAGATGGGGCAGGCAATTCTGTTTCTGAAAAGATTTACAGCCCTGGAAACCTGATGGGCAGCTCTGTATTTTCCTCTGTGCACTTTTTCCTCTGTGCCACTGGGTCATTATGAGGTAGAATCTGTTTGATGGCGCTGGATTCGGTTTGGTTTTTGCTGGTGGTGAAAAGGAAAACAAAGGGACAAATACCTTCCCTCTGACTAACTGGATGGACAAGGCTGCTCATCCATTCATTTATTCATTCAATTTGGCTTCTAAAATGAGCAAAGCACCCAATGGTGAATAGGATTTGGATTCACAGAGGCAGAACTGGATTCATCAGTAGGTAACATTGAGCATGAACTTGAGCCAGGAGGAAAGCTGGG